TAAAAAAAAGAATCGTAATGGGGTGCGATGAAGAGATCAGTTCACGTCTGGAACCCTGTTCCTACAAAAATCCCTTTATTCTCATAAACTATTTGTTTTAAATGTAATTTATTATAAATCCAATTCGTTATTTAAATTCCACATATGTACTACATTTCACCTCTGTACGCGCCACTGTTTATTGTTCCCTGCTCTACGATCAAGCTCGCCAGGTTAGTATTTGACGTATAACCGACCACTTCGTACACTCGATGCACCTGGCCGACTACAGCTAGTACCAGAACACAGTGCGTATGCGGCGGTATTTCAGATTTTACATTCAATTTCATTTTAAATTTGAAACGGTTCATCTTACGCCTCCTAAAAATGATGACACGATTTTCCTTTGATAAAAGACCGACAATTTTTTGCTCTACTTTGCATCGTATATCGTACTATAGTTTAGTGCAATTTTCAGTAGGCCAGGAAAATAAACTGAGAACTGACCAGTTCACGACTTTTTGTTTCGGCAAGCTGAATTTATCACTATAGATGCTAAACATTATGTACAATAACATATTAGTTTCCATAGTCATAAAAATGGGGGGAAGATTGTTTACAGGGTGGTTAATTGTATAATTTTTACGTAAATTCACAGTTTGTAACTCCATTGTTTTTCAACGAATCTTGACGATTTTTTTTGAACTCTTTTCATAAGCTTTCCGAATATGTAATAATATATAACTATATCACGTTCGTGCGTAGTATATTTCATTTTGCAACTAACAATAAGGCTAAAAATTAAAAAAAATTCCAGGTTGCAAATTTGAAATTAAAAAAAAAAGATAGATTTCAAGGCATTATTATGAAATCTACCTTGAAAAAAATCAGTGCGATTGTGGAAGATCCTCGGGATCGTCCAGACTAATAATTAGTTAATTCGTTTATAAGGCCATAACTTGTAAACTATTCAACTTACCGAATCCAGATTTCGTGTGAGTTATTAGACAGTGATAAGGAATGAGAGGATGCGATGCCAAAACGTTTTGGTAATAATAACGCAGGTTATAGATGTTTAATTCGAAAGTCATAAATAAACTTCTGTTTATAACTCTTGATCTAATCAATATTTTTTTACGCTTAAGGGCTAGTTTTGTAGGTCTTTTGAAGACGAAAAAAAGAGTACTATACTGTTTTCTCGTGGAAGTTATAAGCGAAAAACGTGAATTTACGTAAAAATTATACAATTAACCACCCTGTAAACAATCTTCCCCCCATTTTTATGACTGTGGAAACTAATATGTTATTGCACATAATATTTAGCGTCTATAGTGATAAATTCAGCTTGCCGAATCAAAAAGTCGCGTCCAACTCTATATTTCCTGGAAAAATCGGAAAAAAATTATAGGTGGATGTGATCTTTCACGGAGCTGCCACCGTGAGGTTCGACGAGACCCTGAAGAAGGCTTCCTACATCAACGTCAGGGGGGTCAGGGACGTAATAAAACTGGCCCGGCAGATGCCAAACCTGAAGTCCTTCGTCCACATCTCCACCGCTTACTCCAACTGCATCCACAGGGTCGTCAAGGAAGAGATATATCCGCCCGTGATGGACTACAGGAAGCTCCTCGACGTCGCGGATGCGCTCCCTGACGAAGTTCTCGACAAAATAACACCTCTGTAAGCAGCAGGGCTCATTGGTTGTTCGAATTCGACTCACGATCACTTTTTAGGTTTTTGGGGAAATATCCTAACACGTACACCTTCACCAAACACATCGGAGAAGACGTGGTGCGACAGGAAAGTGGAGGGTTACCCGTTGGAATACACAGACCCTCCGTTGGTAAGCTATAAAAGGGGTATCGGAAAGTTAGGTAATTTTTTTCTTCCTCCTAAACATGATTGATTTCAAAAATTCATTTTTGACGCTGGGTATTTTAAAAACAAAAGACAATATGCACGTGTCTCACAGGAAAAAACGTTTTATTTTCATTCAAGGAGGCCTATCACACACTTGTGGAAGAAGCGGACGTTTTATCATTTTTTTTCTACCCTTTTAGTGATGTCGACTTACAAAGAACCCCTAAAGGGTTGGAACAACAGCATTTACGGCCCTGCTGGCCTAATGATGGGCGCATACCTGGGCCTAGTAAGAACTTCACCATACGATACAGAGATCAAAACTCACATGGTGCCTGCTGACATGGTGGTGAATTCCATCGTAGCAGCAGCCTGGGACATTGGGGAAAATTTTATCCGAGAAAAAGACACGACCCCCACCATAACTGTCTACAACTATGATCTGGATCTGGTGAGAGTTTAGACCAGTCAAATTGTCGAAAATACATCGGTTTTTTACCAAAATTTACAAGGAGAAGGTAAGGTAGTCCGATTTTTGTAATTTTTGATATTTATTGTACGTGTAGTTTGGACCTTGAATAAGAATTTTTTGAAGTAGTTCGACGAAACGTTCATAAATTACCGAGATAATCGATTTTGAAGTTTTACCTGACAGCTAAATCCAGTAGATGTGACATATTTTTCAATTGGGAGCGTGGCCTAATTGGTAGCGTTCGAGACTGACAGTCGCAAGATCGCTGGTTACAGTCCGTCGCGTTACATTTTTTTTTTAAACGCACCATATGATTTTTTATTATTTTTTTCATCTCGAAAATTATGAACAAACGAAATATTATAATAAATACTTATGTATACAGGGTGTTCCAGATAGACCTTCAATTAGACGTTTCTGGAAAACTACGCGTACTGGAATTCTGAAAATTTATGTACGGGGGTTTCTCCTAATGTTCTATCGATTGAAAATATTGGCGTCGCCGTGGAACTTCCGGTTCTACCGGAAGTAGACGTCAACTCGCTTATTTCAAATGGAATGTACTATTTTTTATTTAATTTTTGGATTCTACATCGAATTTTAAGGTAAGTTTCATAACCTTACTTTATCCTTAAACTCAATAGTTTTTGAAATATTTTGACTTTTTCAAAATTTTTGAAAAAAACATACCTACACTTAATCGGTTCTATCTCCTCCAATTTTTAAGATAGGAAGCTGAAATTTTAGATGGTCAATACCAAAACGTGTCCAAATATCTGGAATATTCGAAAGTTGGTGCATGTTACACAGGGCGTCTAAAAAACACGGACCAATTGTGTCAAATTGAAAGTTTAATAACTCGCTTATTTTAAATAGAACACCCTGTGTTTTATAATGCCAGTAGATGCACCTGTTAATTCTCTTTCCATTGGTATAAGCATTCCCTATACCTATATCCCACCGATTTTAAGATATTTCAACATAAGTACAGAGACGAATATAATCCGACAGTTAGCTGTAGGTTGATTGTGGAAAAATATTTAAATGTCACCAAGTGTCATTACTTATTTAGCAGATTTGCTGTCATTGTTGTAAAGCGAGTTTGTCGATTTTCCAAATGTTTTCAATAACAATGGCATTCTCTGGGTACACACACGACGACTACACGTCGGTGTAAATCGTCAGGTTGCAAATGGTGTGTTAACATAAATGAAAATGGCTTCCATTTATGCTTCTTCAGAATTCTGTGAATAGTTCCTATTGATAGACGTGAATTTATTATAGCTGTTTTACATTGACAATTTATTCATCAATAAATTGATGAAGTTCTTCATCAATTAATTCACGAATTTATTGGTAAACAGTGTGGTTTTACACTGCTACAGACTTTGTCAAGTTTTTTGACGTATGGATCAGTTCTACCAATGAATTAAAGAAGCAAATAAATTTCAAATGTCACCTTTCCACTCATAATTGTAATGATACAACAGAGGTATCGTTCTGACACATATTATATAAATAATAGTTTTTGTAAATAACAAATCAGTAAAAACAATGCAAAACTAGCACGACGCCACACAATTATTTATATATTCCAATAACATAACCTCATTACTGGTCCGAGGTTGGAAATCTGTTGGGTTGGTACTTCCGAACTTCATGAATAAATTGACGAAAATTAGAACATGCCCTAATTCGTCAAGAACTTGATGAATAAATTGATGAAGTTATTTGACAGCTGATTTGGTGCATTACACTTGTCCAATTTTTTGATAAAGCGACTTCATCAATTAATCGATCAATAAATTGTCAATGTAAAACAGCTTTTATGCATCTCTAATTGACGCCTGTGGATAAGTGGTGAAAAATGTCAATACATTTACTTCATTTTCTTCGTTGTCCACAGATGTCTTACTTTTATCATGTTTCGGGAGAAACTTTCCATTCTCAGAACAATTTTTTAATAGTCTTCTGACCATATCATGACTTGGTCTGTGCTTATTTGGATATCTTTCTGCAAACACGCGACATGTTCTACTAACAATTCTATTACACTCCCCGTAAATGATAATTAAATTTAAAAAGTCGTCGTCTGTGTACCCAGAGTGCACCATTGTTATTGAAAACACTTGGAAAATCGACAAACTCGCTTTACAGCAATGACAGCAAATCTGCTTAATAAGTAATGACACTTGGTGACATTTAAATGTTTTTCCACAGCCAACCTACAGCTAACTGTCGGATGATATTCGTCTCTGTACTTATGTTCAAATATCTCAAAATCGGTGGGATTTAGGTATAGGGAATGCTTATACCAATGGAAAGAGAATTAACAGGTGCATCTACTGGCATTATAAAACACAGGGTGTTCCATTTAAAATAAGCGAGTTATTAAACTTTCAATTTGACACAATTGGTCCGTGTTTTTTAGACGCCCTGTGTAACATGCACCAACTTTCGAATATTCCAGATATTTGGACACGTTTTGGTATTGACCATCTAAAATTTCAGCTACCTATCTTAAAAATTGAAGGAGATAGAATCGATTAAGTGTAGGTATATTTTTTCAAAAATTTTGAAAAAGTCAAAATATTTCAAAAACGATTGAGTTTAAGGATAAAGTAAGGTTATGAAACTTACCTTAAAATTGGATGTAGAATCCAAAAATTAAATAAAAAATAGTACATTCCATTTAAAATAAGCGAGTTGACGTCTACTTCCGGTAGAACCGGAAGTTCCACGACGACGCCAATATTTTCAATCGATAGAACACTAGGAGAAACCTCCGTACATAAATTTTCAGAATTCCAGTACGCGTAGTTTTCCAGAAACGTCTAATTGAAGGTCTATCTGGAACATCCTGTATGTAGGAATATTCTTCAAATATTTCATTAAAATGCACAATTGGTTAATAAACAATATTTATTATAAACTAACAATAAGATTTCATTAAAAAAAAACAAACGAGGTCAGGTAGGATGTTCTTTTATTTTATATTTATGTTAGTATTTGACATTTTACGCAGTGTGGCACGAGCCAGAATGGTAACTATCATCAAAAAATGGGAAGCAGAAACTTTTTAAGCATCTAGCTTCCTTTCTTTTTCTTTTTCTGATCTCGAAAATTATGAACAAACGAAATATTATGAGAACTGTATGTAGGAATATTCTTCAAGTGTTTAATTAACATTTTGAGCTAAGTTTGTGGGTCGTCCACCTTGTTTTAAAAACCGCTTACAGAACACACCTGCTCGGGCATAAAAAGTTTCGGTAAATTCCACAAAGGGTAGAGAAGCATCGAAACTGTGTGATGAAAGAACAATCTTTCAAAATGTCAATGAAATTTGCTTCGACGTCGATATTTTGAAAACAAAATGCGTCTGTAAAAACATAACATTTACACGACATGCTAGATGCTTAAAAAATTTCTGTTTGTTGCATGTTTCTATGATAACTATCATTCTGGCTTATGCCACACTGCGTAAAATGTCAAATACTAAAAATAAAATAAAAAACCTACCTGACCTTGTTTGTTTTAAAGAAACTTTATTGTTAATTCATAATAAATATTGTTTCAACCAATTGTGCATTTTAATGAAATATTTGAAGGATTTTTCTACATACAGGGTGGGCCACCAGTAACGCCTCGGTCGCTAGTGACCAAACGGCAAATGTTACAGAAACCTGTATAGGTGGGTATATGTAGGTTAATTACGGCTACATATTAAAAATATTTTGAAATATACAGGGTGTCCAAGAAAAGCGTACCATATCAAAGTTATGTTTTTTTAAATGGAACACCCTGTATTTTACTGAATTTTGGAAAGCACCGTAAAAAAATAGGTGAACTTTATTAAAGGTTCTGCATACCTAGAACTTACAGTTTATGAGATATTTCAATTTTAGTGAAAATGCAGGCATAGCGGAGAAATTTAATATTAGCAATAAAAAAATAATTTTAAGGAAGCAGCTTTGGAGGGTCTATTTTAGATTCTTGAAGTTATAAATTGTTATATTTGTCGTCACTTAGTATTATACAGAGTGTTCAAAAAACTGCTGACTACTTCTCTCAACTTTAAACAGCAATAACTTGGTTATTTTAAATGGAACACCCAGTATATTTTTACTTTGGGTGTTGGGAAATTTAAAACTCTTTCAAACTGTGTATGGGTTCCCTATACCTATCTCTAACGGTATTGAAGATATTTGAGCCGTTTCATTTTTTATCAATTTTTTTTGTAAGATGTATCCATGAGTCTTTATCGATGTCTTTACTGAATTGGTTTGGGTTCTTCTTGATGACGTCTCTTTAAATATAAGGAGAAAAATGTCCATGCAATTAGATGGCGCACCTGCACATTATTCATATTCAGTATTTATTATAATATTTTGTTTGTAAATAATTTTCGAGATGAAAAAAATAATAAAACACCATATGGCGCGTTTTGAAAAAAAAAAAATAGTCATGCGACGGACTCGAACCAGCGATCTTGTGACTGTCAGTCCCGAACCACAGACCACCTAGACTGGCTTATAGAGCGACTTTGGTGAAAACACTCTGGAGCCTGATTTGGAGCCCAGCGCTCAGTCATGTCCTAGCATTTGACGTGTACGCATCGCTGTGATTTCGATAATTAGACGTTTTATCATGGGCAAGTGTATTGTAAAACATTGTATAAATACAAGCGATCGAGTTGGTGAAGAGAAGCGAAAAGTTTCCTTCTTTAGGTAAGTAAAAAAAAGGAATATATAAAAGGTAAATATGTACGCCATTCTTCGGTTGACGTCACAAGTTTCCAGGGTTAGCTTTATAATTTTGTTCGCCCACATAGTGTAGTGATTAATGTGATATTGTTATTATAAAATAATGAATGAATTACTGTAAAATATTTTTAGTAATTATTTACGTTATGCGAGTCTTAAATTTTTATGAAATTTTACCAATTCTCGTCATTTCGAGATAGCTGAAAATGAATGAAATATTTTTTTGAACTAAAAAAATCGCAAACAAAAATAATTTCAGATTCATTATTCGTACAGTCAATTAATTTTTATTAAAGATCGTGGTTGTTTGACGTATCCATCTCGAGATGTCGTAGTAATATGCTAAGAAACAGAAAAATTAATAAAATTTTTAAATAATGAAAGCAGAACACTAGGCTACAGAAAAATAAAATTGTTTATTATGTATTAAAAACCTTTCTGAATGTGAACATATTTGAAAATTTGGATAATTTGCCTAACAATTATAATCATTTAATAGAACTTGTAAGGGCTGAATGTGAAAAGTATATCGATGTACGAATAAATCATGAAGTCAAATTATTTAATTCGGTAAAATCTACGAAAAGGCAAATATTAAATAAATTAATATTATTTAGAGGATAATAAATATATTTAAATTATTTTGTAATTTTAGTTAATATGACACTAAAATATACTATTTTCTGAATTACAAACTTAAAATTGAATATTTGTCATAAGATGCAATATAATGTTTAATATGTAATAAAAATATTACTTAATCCGGATCTGCTTAAAGATGCGCGCGATCAGATTGCCTTCCACACTCCACTTCCCCGGATTCTGCATTCACTGGTACCCGTGCATTGGAATTAGATACGGCCAGTGTAGGTGTAGGTGGTCTGTGGTCCCGAACGCTACCAATTAGGCCACGCTCCCAGTTGAAAAATGTGTCACATTTAGTGGATTTAGGTGCCAGGTAAAACTTCAAAATCGATTATCTCGGTAATTTATGAACGTTGCGTCGAACTACTTCGGAAAATCTTTATTCAAGCTCCAAACTACACTACCATGAATATCAAAAATTACAAAAATCCGACTACCTTACCTTCTCCTTGTTAGTTCAGTAAACAAAGACACGTAAAAATCAGGAAAAATTCCGAAGAACTGAATGAACTATTTAATCCTAGCTGAATGTTAGGGCTTCATTTTTAAAATAGCGTGCAAAGTTCGTAAAAAACAGTTGTTTCATTAAAAAAAAATTAAACATTTTAGAAAAAAAATGTTTTAGACAAAAGTTGTAGAACTTTTTATAACAAAAATTTTGGACCCAGCCCGATGTCAATTGATAAACAAATGTATTAGTTATTGCAAAAAAAAATGGATAAAAATCACATTTTTTTTAAAACTTCTATACGGGTCTCATCACGAACTCCATCGATGGATATCTGCGAAACCGCTCGATGGATTTTTTTGAAATTGTGATGGTGTGATACGGACCGTGGGGAATACCAAACTAAAATATTTTCAAGGTCATCGTACTTCTGGTTATACGGGAAGTCGATACTAACTTTCTTATTTAAAATGGAACCCCCCTGTATATTATTGCATTTTTGGAAAGATCGTCTATTTTTACGTTGAAAACATATAGCACACTCCATACTTAGGATTGACCGTTTCTGAGATATTTTGATTTTTAAACAAAAATTGACAGATGCAGACTGTTAGCAAAATTTAGTTTTCCCGGAAACATAGGTTTATTCTTTTGTGTAAATTGGACATTTTGTAGAGGAAGACCTAATTTATCGAATTTGACATGAAAATTTTCCTGTTTTTATACAGGGTGGTCAAAAAAAAATATCGAATATGAAGTTCAGAAAATGTGGAAAAATCGAAATTTTTAAATGGAAACCCCGAATTTTTTTAACGTATTCACATTCTGCACTAAAATTAAGTGTAACTTTGTTAAAATTCCCCTATACCTATACCTAAACCCAGTGGTTTTCATTTTATTTACGAATAAATATTTCCCTTTTCCTATAATGATTTGCTTCGCACATTTTAGGTTGGCCGTAACAGGCAAGTAACAATCAACATGACAACCGTCACAGGTTTTTAATTGTCAAATTTATTTTAATAAATGTTAAAACGATATCCATCAACTCCGAGTTGAAATATACGTAAGCCATTTTTGACACAGCAACTATTATAAAACTATTGTAAAGACTATCGTAATAACGATTGTAAAATCGGATTTCAGTATTCGAAGTCGCTGGGACCACGTGGCTTTCCAAGCGCATTTCGTAAAGCGCACAACGCGATTGACTCTAGAGACTACAGTTGTCCAGCCATGTAATGGTGCAAAGTACTACAACTTCAATAATTTTATTCTCAGAAACTATAAGGTTTTACTATAACTTTGTTGTTTCTTTAGGACGTGACCTGGGGCAACTATTTGTTTACGTGCAAGAAGTACGCTTTAAAGTATTTCAGCGTCAAGGCCATGTGGTACTTAGATGGGGTGCTTTTTAAGTCATTTTCCGTCTATAACGTTATGCAGTTCTTCCTTCATACCATCCCTGGCGTCATCATGGATGCTATCCTGGTCTACAAAAAAAAACCTCCGATGTAAGTGCTTCGCAATACCTCGGAAATCTGGTGTACCCCGAAGTTCTAACCTTGGGCCACTTCCGTTTCTTATATTTATTAATGATATATTTCTAACGCTTAATTTTTTTCATTTGTACTAAAAATTCAACATTTCTTTGTCTTTGTGTGTTACTATTTAGGCCAGGAAAATAAGCTGAGAAATGAACATTTCGCGACTTTTTGTTTCGGCAAGCTGAATTTATCACTATAGATGACAAATATTATGTACAATAACATATTAGTTTCCACAGTCATAAAAATGGGGGGGAAGATTGTATAATTTTTACGTAAATTCACGTTTTAGTTTATAACTTTTTTTCCGTTCAGTTTCACGAGAAAACAGTAAAGTACTCTTTATTTCGTCTCCAAAAGACCTAAAAACTAGCCCTCGAGCGTCAAAAAATATTGATTAGATCAAATGTTATAAACAGAAGTTTATTTATGACTTTTGAATTAAACATCTATAACCTGCGTTATTATTACCAGAACGTTTTGGCATCGCATCCTCTCATGCCTTATCACTGTCTCATAACTCACACGAAATCGGGAATCGGTAAGTTGAATAGTTTACAAGTTATGGCCTTATAAACAAATTAACTAATTATTAGTCTGGACGATTCCAAGGATCTTCCACAATCGCACTGATTTTTTTCAAGGTAGATTTCATAATAATGCCTTGAAATCTATTAGTTGCAAAATGAAATATACGACGCACGAGCGTGATATAGTTATACAGGGTGTCCGGTAAGTACCTCCTAATCTCTCGGGAGTGTATAGGGGAGGTCAAAATAAAACTAGTCCTTCCTATAATTTTTTTCCTAATGTGCCCCCTAACGGAGTTATGGGGGGTCAAAGGGGTACCTAGAAATTAACGTTTAGGGTTATAACTTTGAAACCACCCTGTATATTTTAATAAAATTTTCGTACGTTGTATTACACATGGAGCTCTACGATTTGATGCTAAAATCAACTTTTTGCTATTATCAGGTGTCCAGAAACGGACTGGCCCTAT